CCTTACTTGCTTAGATGTCTAGGACAAACATTTCAGTGTTCATATGTATTCCTTAACTTTAACTCGCTTAGTTGACTATAACTCTATGACTAATGTGTCTGCTTAAAAATGTTTACACTGTTTTTAATGACATGGTAAATTGTTTTAATAAATATCTTTCTCAGATTTTTACTATAAGCTGAAAACATAATAGACTTTAATAATATATATTGTCTATTATATTGTTAATAAGCTTTGCAATATAAAAGCCTTTTTAAAATGTTTACATTATTAATTTATATGCAGATTTCGTCCCACTTAAATAACCAGTGCCTATTGACTACTTCAGTTAAGGTGCCTCTTTCAGTGAGGGGAACAATGGCAGTTTAGATGACCATTGCTGGATTGTTAGAAACAATATTATGTGATAGCTATGACATCTTCGAAGAATCAAATCATTAGTCTGCTGAAAACTATTTGCTCAGAATATGTTCACAATTAGCCCTTCCCATTGGTCACTCTGTGACTAGAACTGTTGTAATATTGTTACTTTCTGGTAATTTGCAATGTAATATTCCGCAAAAGAGGGCTGAGCTGTGTTAGACAAGCAATATATACAGAATCAAAAATATAAGGGCTGCAGAGCCAGATTATCCACAAGGCAAACCTAGGTAGTAACCTAGGGCTCAGTGCAAATCCAGGATGCCCAACTACAACTGTAATATTCCAGTAAACAGTTAGGATTTTTTTTGGCAGTTGGTATCTGAAAGAACAGACCATGACAGTACAGACAGTGTAAATAGGACAGCTTCCATGTGCTGTCCATGTGGAATCTTTATCAATGTCAATCAAAGGAATGGAGGAGCCAAAGATGCTACCTTGCCTAGGGTCTAAGTCTGCATTAATATATTTCTACAGTGCAGGCTCTAGAATTTCCACAATTGTGTCAGTAATGGGCCAGCATTGATTTGAGAAGCAAATACTGAGCCCGTGGGATGCCTAGACAAAGACAATGCCAGATTATTTGAGGAGAAAGGAAAATAAGGATACTGTCAGTAAGAGTGTTGTGATGTAAGTAAGAGGCAAATAAATATATATATATATATATATATATATATATATATACGTTAACTAGCATGAATGCATTTTATATGAAAAATGATCTCAGAGGATAAGTCCACTTTGAGAATAACAAGTCAGGTGTAACTGAAAACCATGTTAAATGGCTATGGTGCTTGTATTAAGATACATCTAATTACGCTTTTGGACACAACAGAAATTGAGAGGAAATCTTATTAAAGTGAGGGAATTCTTCTCAGACAGTTATCACCACAATAAGTGTTCCTTTGGAAGATTTTTCATGCTATTCTTGTTTCAATTCATAAACTGAATGGAGTTACTAACTCTTCCATACTCTTTCTAAAATCTAAAAAGAAAAAAGTCCAGGGTTTAGATACACTTCAACCACACAGAATGTGACATGATAAATGGTTTCCAGTTGATAGGGCCAGTTAACACCATAGAAATGCAGTCCGGATGCATTTCGGATCCATTTCTGCATGCACATTTGTGACTCGTTTTTGACAAGTCGGTGCATTTTTGATGCGTTCTGCTTCATTTTCTCCCCTCTCTCTTTTTCAACTTAAATAAGGTCATGTGCTCTCCAGTGCATTTTTGGTGTGTTTTAGTACATTTTATATGTGTTTTACAGCGTTCCAGTACAGTTCAGTACAGAAAATATGCAGCATGTTTTACTTTTGTTCTGAAACTGGAACTGACTGCACTGGTGTGAAATGTTGTGAACTATGCCATTGTAAACCATGTAACTTCCTGCATTTCTGATGCAGAAAAAAAACCCACACTGGACTGCATGTAGTGTGAGCTGGCCCTCAGGTAAATTCTTATTCTGCTTATTTTCTCTTTTTGTACAATAGGATTTTCACCTTTAACAAGTCCACCATAATTCATGGATATGGGACTTTATTCAAGTTTTCTTCAAACTGGAATGCTATCTCTTTACTCATCTTAAAGATTACCATTTCAGAGTACATAAGCCTCAAAACCAAGTGGGTATTGCTGTAGGCCAAATGTGGGAATATAGCTCTGGTATATTCCCACATTTGGCCTAGAGCCAAATATATAAAGTTCTGGTTAACCATACAATAAGTGGAAGAGACTTCCTATTTCTTAACACCGACATCCACTTCTTACTATTAAATGCCTGCACAGAGAATGGGATGGAGTTTAAAACAAAGTAGTTACTTTTCATTTAGTAAAGTAAATATTCACTTTTTTAAAAGTATGTTTTCACTTTTCACTGTGGGTATTAGTTAATTAACCAGTTGCCCTCCAGAGGATTTACATCCCTTCCTGACCAGGCCTTTTTTTGCTCTAAGGCGCTACATTACTTTAATTGACAATTGTGCTGTCATGTACCACTGCACCCAAATTAAATTTACGTCCTTTTTTCCGCTATAAACACAAAAGACCAACAATTTTGAGAAAAAGCAGTATTTTTACATTTTTGCTATTAAATATGTCCAGTAAAAACTTTTTAAAAATCAAATGTTGTCAAAAATTTAGGCCAAAATGTATTCTGCTACGTGTCTTTGCTAAAAAATCCTAATAAATATAAATTAATTGGTTTACGTGAAAGATATAGCCTTTACAAATGGTGGTATATATATTGGAATTGAAAAAAAAAAATGTTGTTTACTAGTAATGGTGGCGATCAGCGACTTATAGTGGGACTACGGAACTGCGGTGGGCATTCTGATACTGGGGGGAACTGCCTTGGTGTCACTGACATCCCTAATAAAAAGCACTTATACTGTACTAATGACACTGGGCAGGAAGGGTTTAACATGTGGGCCGATCAAGGGTTACTGTGTGCTGTGTGTGTTTTACTAAGTGTGCTGTGTGCTGTGTTTCACTGTAAGCACACTACGTTTTATGGATATGCTATGCAGAGCCATACAAAGCAGTGTGGAGTAGCTGACAGGGGATTGGTAGGGGGACATGATATTCCCTGAAATGGACTGAGAGACTATGTTTTTTGAAACCAGACCTGATATTATACACGTGTTCTCTCAGTCTATCTCTAAGCCTCCTCTTAGTCCTGTCTACATATTGTTTTCGGCATGAACATTCGAGTAGATATACTACATATCTGGATTCACAAGAAATAAAAGTTTATGGAGTATTCTTTATTAGTACTGGTAGAAAAAAATGTATATAATTTATGTTGTCTATGGCCGCTAACTGTACAAATCACACATTTATTGCAGGGATGAAAACCTTTCATATCCACAAAAAAAGGGGTCTTATTTGGAAGTTGTAGAATATTAGGGGCCAAACGATCATGTAAATTAGGGGCTCGTTTAAATATTAGTTCAGGTTTATCCGGTAATATTTATTCAAAATTGGATAAGATTTTTATATGCCCCATCTATTATTCAAAATATTTTTAATTTGATAATACTGTACTGAAAAATTTGTGGTGAAAGGACAAATCCTTTTATTTATCCTTTTGTCCTGAGGAGTCAATAACGTACCCCTGTTGATATTTAAAACATCCTGTATGGACTGATCTAGTGTGGATTCCTCATAACCTTTTTCTAAAAATCTATGCTTTAGAATAGTAGCTTCTTGTATATAAACATTAGTATCCTTACAGTTGTGCCTCATTCTTAGAAATTGCTTTTTAGGGACACTTTTTAACCATTGAGGATGGTGGCAGCTGTTTAATTATTATTATTATTATACTGTGTTTATATAGCGGCAAAAGGTTTGCTCAGTGCTGTACATTAAAGTGGGGGGGACAGAACATGAGACAATACTGTAACAATACAATACACGAGGTGTTTGAGGGCCCTGCTCTTTCGAGCTTACAATCTAGGAGGGAGGGGGTAGAGGTACAGGAGGAAGTGGCTGTGGGGGATGGAGTGGTAGGAGGAGTGGGGAATGGCTGTTAGGTGAGGGTGGGGTAGGCTTCCCTGAAGAGATGGGTTTTCAAGGTGCGCCTGAAGGTGAGGAGGGTAGGTGACAGTCTGATGGATTGGGGTAGGGAGTTCCAGAGGATGGGGGAAGTCCTGGAGAAGTCCTGCAGTCAGGCGTGGGAGGAGGAGACCAGGGAACTAGAGAGTAGGAGGTCTTGTGATAGCGAAGAACACAGGTAGGGTAGTATTTGGGTATCAGGTCAGTGAGGTAGTTTGGGGCAGCGTTATGAATGGCTTTGTATGTCAGAGTTAGTAATTTGAATTTAATGCGTTGGGCAATCGGGAGCCAGTGAAGGGACTGGCAGAGGGGGGTGGCAGAAGTGGTTTAATGGGATGTAACTACTCCTAACTGAGGCTTTAAAAAAATGATTTAGTATAAATTTCTCCATCTATTAATCTTAAACTCAAATCCAAAACACCTCTTGTTTACTATAGGTATACGGTAAATTAATGTTATATTTATTGTCGTTCAAATAAGACATGATTTAATTAAGTTTCATCTCCTTTCCATAATAGTAGGACATCATCAATATAACGTTTATGAAAAAGTAAATTGTCTGGTATTCTTTCAAAAATGACCTCACTCATAAGGAGGTTCGCTAAACTGGGGACAAATGTTGCCCCCATAGCTACACCTCTCCTCTGTAAAAAAAAAATATTTGAACCAACAGAAATTATTAGACATAGCAAAATCAAGTAAAGAAATGATAAAGTCTTTCTAAGAGGTTGGGATGTTTAGTGCAGGGTTTAAAATTTCAAGTCCTGAGCTACTAGCCAGGCCTTAAGAGTTACTTGCCACCAACAAACACACACAAACACAGACACCTGTACACACACACACAGACATGTACATACACGCACAGAAACATGTACACACACACACACAGAGACACATGTAAACACACACACACACATACAGACACATGTATACAGACACAGGCACGTACAGACACGCATACACACAGATACATGTACATACACAGAAATACACACACACAGACACATGTACATATACACAGACACATGTACACACAGACACATGTATGTACATACACACCAACACACATTTACATGCACACACACACATGTTTGTTTACATGTACACAAACATGTACATACATGCAGACACATGTACATACACACAGACACATGTACAGTACATGCATACACAGACACACATGTACACACACACACACCCTATAAAAAGTAGCAGTACTTTGTTGTTCACTCACAGAGCCGGGTACTGCACTCTAGGAGGAGGCAGCGAGCACAGCACACATTCCTTGCTTTGCTTTCACTGCGCTCAGCTATTGAGCAGTCTGACGGCTCCCAGTGCCAATGACAGATCCGGCCTGAGCTCCGAGCCTGCTCATCAAGAAGGCCCTGGGGAACACACTCGCCCCCATCATAATTTCCACTCGCCATTGCCGAGCAGGCGAGTGGAAATTTCAAGGCCTGGTTTAGCCCATTCAAATATATAGAAACAGTTTCTCTTCCATCTTTATGATTAATATTAGTATAAAGAGAGGCTACGTTTAGAACTTGTTTGGTGTCTTTTAGATAGGCAAGTGTATAAATCACCAATGTTTGTAAAAAAGAATCTATATATTCCCCAATCCTCGATGTTAGGGATCCTTTACCGCTTATATTAGGTCTACCAGGTGGATTTATGAAGTCTTTATGAATGTTTGAAAGAAATTATACAATTGGAATCTTTGGGGCTGAAAGGAGCAAATAAGCCTTTTCTTTCTTTATACCCTTCATTAATCAGTGTTTTATGTTTTTTTTATATTCTATAGTGGGATCCTTTTTAGAAGCAGGAGATGCTTGTGGGAGGTGATGTCAGTGTTGGTCATAGACCAGAGTAGATAACAAGGCTGCAATGGACCCAGTTGCAGCCATTCAATCTCGGCCCATTTATTAGGGGGGCGCTGAGAGGACCATGAGACAAGAATATGGAGGTGAGTGGCCAAAAAAAGGCCTAACGGTCTGGAGCCCCCAAACCTCCCCTAGATCATGATGAGAGAAGGACTGTACAGGCATTTCAGTGAGATTTATTATGCCTAATAAAGTGGAGGAAATGGGCGGACTGACAACTCATGGGGCCCCCGGGCAATAGGGGATCGTGGGGCTCCTGTGTCCTTGCCCAAATTCAAAAAAGCCTATGAAAAAGGTACCAGGGGCATCTCATGGGGCCCCCTACTGACCCTGGGCCCTCGGGCCGTGCACGAGTTTCCAAATGGTCAGTCCGCCCCTGGGAGGAAAGGTTTCTGAAGGGAATGTAGCTCGGACATAGGAATAGGTACAGGAAGCATTTCAAACAGATACAAAAGCTTGGGCAGTATGGTCATTTTTTGCACATTAATCCTTCCGAGGAAAGAGATGGCAAGGTTGTCTCAAGATTTTAAGGATTGAAAAATAGCGTGAAAAAGGGGGGGGGGGGATAAGCTTCGCAAAGGGAGTGGTAGGTGGAGGTAAGTGGTATGTGGAGCGGTAAAGCTTCAGTTTTAGACACGTTAACCTTATAGCCTGACAGGGCACCAAAGAGCTGGAGAGTACAATGTAGAACAGGTAGTGTAATGTGAGACTCCATCAGTGTCAACAAGAGATCATCAGCGAACAAAGACAGCTTAAACTCACAATTGTGGGTGCGTATTCCATGGATATCAGGGTTGGATGTGATAGCTATAGCCAGGGGTTCCAAACAGAGGATAAACAATAAGGGGGAAAGAGGGCATCCCTGGCCTGTACCATGAGACATCCAAAATGAAGGTGATAAAAATGAAGCCAATTTGACCTGGGTAGAGGGAGTGGAGTAGAGGGCTTTCAAAGCAGCCACAAACGGACTGCTAAACCCAAATCTCTTTAAGACTAGGAACATATAAGGCCAACTTAATTGGTCAAATGCTTTTTGTGCACCCAAGCTCAACAAGAGAGTAGGATTTGGGGACTTATTCACAAGGACAAACAAGTCAATGGTTTTCCTGGTGTTATCTGTAGCATGTCTAGCCAGGACAAAGCCCACCTGATCTCTGTGTATAAGCTTGGAGATACATTTGGCCGATCTATTGGCTAGTATTTTTGTGAAAATTTTGTAGTTAGAATTTAATAAGGCTATGGGGCGATAATTATCTGGAAGGGAATGGTCCTTGTCTGGCTTCGGGATCACAGAGATATATGAGCGTGTAAAGTCATCATGGTGATGAGACCCTTTCAAAAGATCCCGAAACAAAGTCAGAAGATGAGGGGCTAAGATGCCAATAAAGGACTTGTAATACGAGTAGGGAAGACTGTCCGGTCCTGGGGACTTGTGAGTGGGGAGGTGTTTAACAACATCCAATAATTCTTTGATGGAAATTTTTGCATTCAAAACTGTAACCGGGTGATAAACACGGTAAATGTAAGGAGTCAAAAAAGGCGTCAAAAGCGGCCATTTGAAGGGGAGGATGAATATTAGGGGCAAGGCAATTATGAAGCTTTCATAGTATTCTCCAAATATTGTAGCTGTAGCCATAATATGCGGGTCATACGTGGGTTTGCCATCGGACTGGAGTAAATGACCCGGGAAGGAAGGGGACGTTTGAGATTTAAGTCTATTCATGAGCATGCGGTGCAGTTTATTAGAGAACTCATAAAACTTTTGCCTAGCCAAGGTGAGAGACTGAGCAGTTTTATGTAGGTCAAGAGCCCTAATTTGATCACGTATATGGGAAAATTTCTGTAACCGAGGTATAGATTATTGGCATAAAAGGAATTGCCTAGCACAAACAGAGGCCTTCTTTAAACTGGCGCCCATGGAAATACAGAGGCCTCTAATGACGGACTGATGGGCCTCCTAGGATAGAGGATGAAGATACTGAGCCAACATTGAAGTGAAAATAAGCATCCAGACCCCCAGAGCTCCTCTCGAAGTTGTTCCAAACGCAGAAAACTCTCATTAAAGTGCCAGTGGCAGACCCTAGGGGTGGAGTTAGGGAGATGGAGATCAAGTGACAGTGAGGTATGGTCTGACCTGGTCATCGGATTGATCTCTGAAGAAACCAAAAAGGGGATCACTGGGGGCAGTGACAAAAAAATGATCTAATCTAGAGAACATGCGATGTGGAGTAGAATAAAATGTGAATTGCCTATGGAGAGAATGTTTGACCTGCCAGGAGTCAAAGAGACGATGCTCCCAAATCAGTTTGCGGAAAGCTGCTGAGGAGGAGCATAGCCTCTTTGACGGGGTAGGGGCAAAGAGCACCTTCCTATCCTTATGGAGAGACATAACTAAATTAAAATCCCCCCCAACGATCATAGATGGAGTAAATATCAAACATAACTTGTCTAGAGTCTGAGAGAGAAATAACAGCTGACCAGAGTTGGGTGCATACAGATTCAAAGTACAAATGGAGAGCCCTCGTACATACATTTCAACAAGACATAACGACCATGTGGGTCAACTCAAGAAAAGGGAACCCTCAGGGAGCAGTTTTTCTGGATCAAAAGAGCTATTCCAGCTTTCCCGTAGGGATCAAAGGCTGAATAGGATTGTGAAAAGCTCTTGGAGGCAAAACGAAAAGAGCCATCTTATTTGAAGTGAGTTTCCTGAATGAATATAATATCTGCTCCCAAGGATCTGAACTCCTTCAGAGCCATACACCGTTTTTGGACTGAATTGAGCCCTTTGACATTATACTACAACAGTCTTAAAGCCATCATGAGACAGTAATGGGTATAAAAGCTGTGCAACTTGAGCATACAGAAAAATTATCATCGATGAGACAAAACAGAAAGCAACAGAGAACCAGATGATTATCATGGCAACCGGCCTAGTACAAACAAATATATCACAGAAAACAGGCCGCAGGAACTACGGCTGGAAACAAAGATATCATCAAAGATATATACCCAGGAAATCCCAAGTCTTCAGGGCTAAAAGCTTGACGAACAAGGGGACAACACGGCAGCTGTCCCTAAACGACAGGTGCCTATCTCAGTTAACCACTTAACAGCTGTAATCAGAACATACAAATGAGGGAGGGATAATAGAAAGTTCCTAAGGCACACATGGGAGCATAAGATATCTGGAAGAGTCAGGTGCTGAGGCCCATCGAGCCAGGAAATCGGGGCCACTGGGTAGTGCGTGCATACCCTCTTCCTCCTGGCTTAGCAGGTGTCCAGATCTTGCGTGGAGCAGCAGAAGACCTGGATGGCGTAGGAGGTTGCAAAAAGGCAGGGGAGGAAGTCCCAACTATTTGAAGAAGGCGTTCGCTTCATGTAGATCATGGAGTAAGACTTGGGAATCATCTTTGGAGACAATAAGCCTAAATGGAAATCCCCATCGGTAAACAATACGATGCTGCTGGAGATGAGTGCTAACTGGCTTCAAGACACACCTCTTTGCCAAGGTAATGGGAGGTAGATCACTGAAAATCTGAAGCTTGTCATCCCAAAATTCCAGGGAGGTCTTGTTGCGGGTAGAGGCAAGCAATGCGCTGAGCAAACTGTTGGTGTTAAAAATCCTGTATAATAATAAAGGCTTCTCTGCTGTTAAAGTAATGAAAACAAATGATAACGTCTCTGGGTCTAATGACCTCAGGAAACCTCGGGCCTAATGATCTATGGGCCCGGTCCATGCGCCAACCAATATCTGGGACTTTGGGGGCCAGAGTGGTAAACAGAGACAGCAAGTAACATTTAAGTTGGGAGTCAGGGACTGTTTCAGAGATGCCACGAACACGAATCTGGTGGCGCTCCCCCTGTTTTCCAGGTCCTCCTGCTGGAGCTGTAAATGAGTCACGGAATGTTTCAGGTTCACATTATCCTCTTCCAGGTCATGCACATATTGCACCAATTTGTCAAACTTCATTTCAAGGTGGTCTGTGAGGTCTCCCAATTGGGAAATCTCCCCCCTGAGCTCCTGGGCCCATTTCCCAATTTTAGCAGAGATAGTGCAGGTGATATTATGTAAAAATACCTGCAATTTGTCCTCCAGGATATCCACCATCAGAGAGGGGGGCACCGGAGTAGGAAGCAAGGAAGCAGGGGCGTCTGTGTCTATCCCTGCCATTTCAGTAGACACTCCAGAGCACTCACTCGGGTTTCCGCAACTACTCAAGGCCGTGGATGCAGGCCTAGTGAAAAAGCGTGGAAAGCCTCAGATCCAGCGGTTTCCATCACCTGATTTTGCCCATGAATGTGCCTGAGGGTGTCCTGATGCGGGAAGAGCACTCCCGGGTCTGTGGCTGATTCAGAAGGGTGTCGGGAGGCCGTTGCAGACTGAGGATCTGCAGAGCTCACCCTTCACACGCCTGCCATCTTGGGATGCTGCGCATGCACCCCAATAAACCTTGTATCCCATTATCCCACTTTTTCCTCTCTAACTTGTTTTTATTTTCAGTCTTTCCAAATCCTGGATCACCATATCTCTAAACACTCCCATGTGAGAGCTACCATTATTAGATGAAGACAAGGTGCTTTG